AAAAAAAAACAAGCTCTCAAACTGCACGGTCTTTATTTCTTGAAGCTAGATATATAAATATATATATATATATATATATATATATATATATATATATATATATATATATATATATATATTATATATATATTTATATATATATAATATTATATATATATACATATATAATATGAACAAATTACACTGTTCCATTTATAGTTTATACAATACATCTTTAAAATAACATAACATAAGCTTCATTGAATCAATAAAGAAACTGTACTATATAACTAGTTCGCTAATTTATTATTCATTAAATTTATTATCTGTATTTATTGGATAAATACTTTTTAATTTTAATGCTTTACACAAGGTCGTAAACACGACTTATTATGCTTTCAAAGGCGCCAGTCGAATTTGAAATTAATCGTAGGTACATCCGTTGGCCGGCTGCGTCTGATACTGTCATACATATATGCGTGTATCGTCACATACCAAACGATAAATCGTACTTCATAATAAACTTTTAAAAGCCTTTTAGATAATATTGTTCTAATTCTTATAGTTTTTCAAATAACAAGACGTGTATTATAATCTATTTTAACCCCTCAACGACCGCGGACACGCCGACGTTACAGTTAACAATAGATTTCTTAGAAATCTGGAGGTATAGTGAAGAAAAATATTTATTAAATTTCGATATGTTATAGGTAGGTATGTATACTTATTTGCAAATATCTGTCATACTGTTTTATAAAAACCATATACATCATATAAAAACCTAATTTCTTACTAAAAAAAACTATTTAATCACTTCAGAGAATTGTTTGTTTAAGTTTATAGGTGTCAAGATAAGAAAAGACTATCTCTAACTCGAAGCGTTCTACTCGATCAATCTAACGTATCGCATGATATAAATGAATCTACGGAAGCGCACTTCATTAATTCTATAGCCGTATACGATACGACAACCTAATGCATTGCTTATAAAACTATTTATTCGATTATATGCCATATTGATAGACGAATAGGAACCAAGACCTAGAGATTAAATGCAATTTGTCTTAGAATACGGTAGCAAAACTGATGATTCCTGTCTTATACAATACAATGATTAAGGTATAGTCATTAGTAAATAAAATGCCCATGAATATAATGGATGAAGGACTGTAGCATACAATTATCATATGTTAATAATTATTTGTCGCCATTTCATTACTTTTTTGTAAAGTCCATATGAAGAACCCACCCTAGCTTCTGTCCAGCCTTTTAACTACACTTTAAAATACTGATTCTACAGACTGGACTGGACCGAACATAATAATATGTACATACATTGTACATACATATATACATGTTTAATAGCTGCTTGTGTCTATGTCTCCGACTGCATAATACTATGTTCCTTTGTCAACTTGTTTTCATCTTTTTAGTTGGTTCGCTTTTTACGCAGGTTTTTTTATTTTTGTAAATATTTTTTTAATTTGTTGGTTTTTGGCATTTCTCATTCCAAATTTCATTTAAACATATAAGTGGTTTCATTAAACTTTTATAAGCAATTTATAAAATTTAAAAAAACATTTTGAAGATATATTACGTCGCCAAAAATCTAGCTTGAAAGCTAAAATCCTTCAAGCCGTTAAGGTTACAGAGCGTGCCAAAGAAATAAACATACATACACTCGAAAAACATAACAATCCTTCTGACGCAGTCGGGTAAAAAACTAGAGGCTGCATTCCATACATATGAGGGTAAAAAAAAATTAAATTCATATTATAATCGTATGAAATATCTCAGGATAAGTCTTCAAAATTGAGGTAGAAGTTTTAAGTAACTTCTTTTGCTGAAAAATTGCCAAATTATATGCCTTCTAAGACGTAAACATTGTGTGTAGCTTTTGAAATATTTAGTGAAAAATTCTGAGGAAAATTGAAATAATGGAACACCTAAAATATTTTAAAGGAAAATTATTTTAAAGAAGATACTTACTAATTTAAGTTTTTGAGATAATTTTTATTCCACGCGTTCGGCTGCACAATAAACTTTTTTTCCATATAAATACCATGAATTACATACTTATACCGTCAATAAAATGAATAAGTACTTACTACTTACTTACTTAATACTTGTAATTTACTTTTAACCCAACAAATCTGGTAATGTTAAATATAACACAATCTTTGATGCTACGAAAGTCGGAAGCCTGAGTACGTCAGTCAGGTTCGCACTTTGTCATTTTTTTTACTTATTTACATCTATTATTTTTGGTTATATTGAAATGATTTAACGCTTTACGATTAGGAGCTATGGTTTCTATAGCAATTGAATGGTATACCTATTTACATGCATGTTTGTAGAAATAATGTGTACCGATTTACTATTGAACTTAGCTCTAAAATCACGTCTAGTTTAGTAAAAAGAGAGCCACGTGTTTTAAATAACTAACTAATAGTACTTAAAAATAATAAAATAATACCTATATTTCAACACTTATAAGTAAAAAACGTAGGTGACAATTGAGGGTAAGAAATCCAGGCAACGAACCAATTGAGTGCAATGTATGTACCATAAGGGGAAATGTAGCGTAAACCTGTCTCTTCCCATCTTAGCCTTAGAAAAAATCCAACAGGAAAAGAAAAAAGAATGTCTTGACTGTCCATATTAAGCTACGAATCATGTCAACAAGCAATTACTTAAAAGCAGTAAGTTATAGCAAATTATTAAATACGAACTAAAATATCAACTTAGTTCTAATTAGAAACTGAACAAACCGAAAAAGTCTTCCCAAGTCATAGAATGATCCGAATCAGCGTTTGCACCATCCATCTTCGAACCACAAAGCGGCTAACTTAACATTTTATAATCCAAGAACAGAAACAAAAAATATCACACTATTTTAACACTTTGCACTTCATTTTTATTTGTTGACAAACAAAAGAACATCGTGACCGTTCGAAACGAACAGAATACGCGGCCGCACGGTCCGCAGACAACTATTGAATGAAAAAGTTTCGGCTTTTAGTCTACTCTCGTCTCTCGGTTACTCCGTAGTCCGTACTCGTTCCTCCGACCGCCATCCCTCCCTTGCACTCTAAATGCACGAAACTATACAAATATTTGCATTATTTTCATAACATCAGTAGGAGTTCAAATCACTAGGTAGTAGGTACTAGCGTAGTTCGAAGAATTTCTACATATCTAAAAATTATGAGAACACTTTCAGTACCTACCTAATGTTAATGTAATATGATTGCCAAGGTAATAAATTAAACACACTGTAAAAGCTTTTCACACATTTCTTTCATATAGTCATTAATTTCTTTTTCAATGAACTTAATAAATATATAAGCGCAAATTTTTAGAACGTCATTTAGGATAACTAGAATTTGCACCAATTTCTTAATGTTTTAAATATATTTAGCAAACTCCAAATTCTATTGCTCTATATTTGCTAAACATATTTATGGCAATTTATTCAAATTAGGAATTGATCTAGGCCCTTAGTTTTAACAGGTACACAGTTTAAAGGCTTTTATTACTTAAAACTTATAAGTCAATTTTTAACTTTGGCGCCAATTTATTGAGTTATGAGTTATGACATTCACAACAATAGAGGTATCAAGGGTTGCTATACAAAACATATGATTTAAAGATACCATTCAGCAAAGAAATATTTATAAGCCCTAGTAAACAAATAAATCAATAAACAAACTCAAAAAATATTCTTTATATAATATAACAAACTAAAAATATTATCTTAGTATCTATATATAATAATATTATTTCAATAAGATATAATAAAAATAAAATAATACTTCTTGTCTAGAGTATTAATCCATACATATGTGATATGTATAATAAAATTATAACTAAGCCGAACCTGTACATAAAATACTTTTTGGAAAATATTATTTATATAGAAATCATTATCCATACAGAGGCCGAATGTATAGTTTTTAAGAATTTTGGTCTGTCTGTCTGTGACCACATCACTTTTTATTGCGGGAAAATATCTCATCTCTGAGAAAGCTATACTAAATATTACGTTTTACGTAAGTAGGGACGAAACATAACCAAATAAACCAAAATAAATGTATTATAATAAAAAATTAAAGAGTGTGTGTATCAATCTGTACACACACAAAAAGTCAAACTTTTATAGGTTATCGGTACTTTATATGAAATATGAAATTCAATTTATTTTGTAAATAATTATGATAAGAGTGACACTTTTTTTTATTAAATGTAGTAAAAAATATTTCAAGTAGGTAAATAATTTTTTTATCAATATTCATTCATTTGATATTATTCCAACGCTCATATAAAAATAAATGAAAGAAGTATTTATCTATATGTATTCTTTGATTATTCATTTATTGGTTTAAATATTTTTAGTCAATTAAAAAATTATACACTTTCTTAACTTACCGTTTCCGTCACAATAATCGTAACGCCAATATTTTTCCTTCTGATGATGCGCCTAAAACAAGTTTTACTTCAAAAAGTTGGAAAATTATTTGTATTGATTTACTTTTTTTATTTGTCAGCTTACTTAAATATTATCTATCTGTACTTACTTATCTTGTGACTGCAGACTGGCAACACTCCAATTGATCGGTTGATTTCTATTTTCTAACAACATGGCGAACTTTCATTGAAACCGTCACAAGTTGCTATAAAATAAGAAATTCATAGTTTAATTGAAGAGATAGAAGTGTAGGAAATAAGTAATTTATACATGACTACAGTATAAATACTGCATACTTACATTGTAATATTAAGTATTAAAAGGCTTAGTTATTTTTTTATTAAATCAAGACTTGTTTGGTAACATTTTTCATCTAATTACATTTAAAAGCGGTGCAATAACAAATTTAGGCATGTTTTTGTATTTTTTGTACTTTTAGTACGATCATAATGCTACTGTTTATTTTCAGAAAAAGAATTCTAGTGCAAAACGACATAACATTTGACAATAAGATCAATGAACTTTTAAGCGGAATTTTGAATACCTATATAGCATGCCTCGACGAGGTAATGATATGGAGATTCGTCTCCCTTCCAAGAAGCTTAAAATTGTCGAAGAACCACCAAGTTTAGACATCAGTTTCTGTGATGATGAAGCTCTGCCGCCAGGCATAGTTTTTACGGATATTTTACAAAAAGAATGGCGTATAGGCAAACCTATAGGTAAATTTTACCCATAAAATCCAAATATTACATTTATAGTGGAATAAATATGATGATTTGTCATTCCTTCATAAGTTCTGCTGTGTATAATGATGACAATGTATAGTTACTAAATATCACTTCTTTATATTTTATTCTTTTTATTTTTAATTAATAAGCATTATAATTTACTAGCGATACCCTCGCTTCGCTGGGTTTCGTCCCTAGGTATGTTTTGTTTGTTTTGTATTATGATGTATTTTTCCATTTAAATGAGGTAATATCCCTATAAAAAGTAGCCTATGCCAGTTCTCTAACTATCTCCACACCAAAAATCACGCCCATCCATCATTGTTCCGACGTGAAAGAAGGACAAACAAACACACTCACATTTATAATATTACAATGGACTGTGGATATTGTATATTTATATTAAAAAAAGTATGTAAAAATATGATACTCTAGGCAATCTTAAACAAATCTTTCCCACGTGAACTCTATAATTTTCTGGAATGAAAAGTATCTAAAATGTTGACCGGGGATATAAGGTACCATCATGCAAAATTTCATTTAAATCGGTTCAACAGTTTTGGAGATTAGCCTGTACAAATAGACAAACAGACAGAGAAATGAAAAATTTGAAAAAACTGGATTTCTTCTAATTCTCTTTTTTCTATGTACAGTCATTCAACCTCTACTGTTTTATTATATGTATAGATTTACAGGATACTTTATAATAACTGTTCACGATTAATGAATATTTTAATAACAGCATCGTAAAACTAAACTTCAATTAATATACCATTTTATATAGAAAAATGTTTTTTAGAATAATGGTGATGTACTTGCAGGTAGAGGGAGTTTTGGTAGAATTTACTTAGCTTCTGATGAAACAGATAAAGAAGTAACAAAATTAAATGCCCGTTATGTGGTCAAAATTGAACCACATACAAATGGGCCTTTGTTTGTTGAAGTACATTGTCTCATAAGAACAGCACAAGTTTCTAAAGGTTTGTTTTTTAATTAAAGAATAAATATTTAAAACTAATCTTAAATAAATTTAACACACTTTTTTTCTTTCAGTTAAAGCTTGGCGCCAACAAAATATGCAGAAACGTTTAGGCATGCCACCTTACATAGCTAGTGGATCTTTTACTGATAAAAATTCTGGTGTAAAATACAGATTCTTAGTTCTTCCAAGATATGATGTAGATCTTCACAAAATAATATCTAGAACAAAAGTTTTAGACTTAAAAAATATTCTTATAATAGCCATACAAATACTGGATGTTTTAGAATATTTGCATAACCAAGGTTATACACATTCTGATATTAAGAGCTCAAATTTAATTCTCGGGTTTGATGGTAATAAATTCAATAAAATGATGAAACCAACACCATCCTATCAAAAAGATAATAAACAACTTGTGCTCTTGTCAAGGAAACATAAAAAATCAAAGACAAGCAAAACAAGGACATCTAACTATTATGACGATAAAGATTTTATTGTAAGGAAAGACAGAATCTCTATGGAATTCATAGAAGAGAATGATAAAAGACTGGCTAGTGTGAAAAAGAAACTAAGAAAGATCCTATCAGATAAAGATAATCGAACTTTACATAGACACCATGCATTTAACTTAAGACAATTGTCGAATTGTGTCAATTATGAAGATTTAAACAGTTCCGTGTGTTCTGATCAGTCCTACCAAAAGCTTTTGGATGATTGTGGAAACAAAAGTTATTTATATTCACCAAGGAAGTTACACATAACAAATACAAATAATATTATTGAAAGTGGAAATTTAGATGAAATTCATAAAGAAGCAATTATTTCACAGTCAAATGGCCAAATTTATTTGTTAGATTATGGACTGGCATCTAAATTTCTTGATTCAAATGGTAATCACAAAGATTTTGGAATGGATGCGAGGAAAGCTCATGATGGTACTTTGGAATACAGTTCCCGTGATTCTCATATTGGAGCACATTCAAGAAGGTCTGACCTAGAAACTTTGGGCTACAATCTACTCGATTGGCTTACAGGGACCTTGCCCTGGAAAACTACTGAAGTTTTAGCAGAACCTGACTTAGTTCATGCTTTAAAGAAAAATTTTATGAGTGACATTAAATTACTTCTGAAAACTTGTTTTAAAACAGAATTCTATCCTCAGTTTTTGGAAAAATACTTACAATATGTTACTAGTCTTGATTTTACAGAAAAACCTGACTATGACTATTGCAGGAGTCTATTCAGGAGTGAACTACTGAAAAGTGGTTGTGTTCTAGATAAAGAACTGTCTGTTAATTTCTCAGAACCACCAATGTCACCAATTAATAGAAAAGTGTGTTATTCAAAAAGATTTGGCAGAAAAAATACTCCTCCAGACTTTTTAGCTAGAAATGGAATTAATAAAGCGTATGAAAGGGAAAATGTGTGTTCCTTAGAAAATGACCTCAAATTAGAACTCTTAAAACAAACCTTAAACACATCAAATGATGGAATTCGCAAGCCATGCACTTCTCGAAATTTCTTTATATCAGATGCCGATTTGGTCGCTCGCCTGAAAAAATCTCTTATGCCTCATGACATATTCGGAAAAAAATTATCACCAAAAAACCTAAGATCCAAGAAGAAAAATATAACAAAACGTAATGGTGTAAAAAGGCACAGAAATAGTATTGGTAAATTTGGCAAATTCATGGGCTCTGCCAGGCAATTCACTTGGGCTGAAATATTAGCTGGCAACCCTGAAGATATTATTCGCAAAGAAAGAAATGCAAATGACAATGACGAAGATGATGATTCTAATTGCAAATATAGGATTCGGAAACTTTCTAATGCATCAGAAAATTCAGATAGCAATGCTCAGTCTCCAATTCTCCAAAAAGATTATTTACAAGCATTAAATCCTACTTATGCTATGAAAGAAGTTATAGCAAATTTAAAGAAAAAAGTAAATGGCAAAGTAACAAAAGATGCTGAAGTGTCTTATTCAGGCTTAGAAGGATATACACCGGCCATGATCAGAGTCTATAAAATGAAAGAAAAAAGGGAGGCAAAAGAAAATATAGAAACTTTAAAAAAAATGAATATTGATAAAGAAGTAGTAATAAGATGTACTCGATCAAAAACTAAACTATCTGAAGAAAAATCTGAACAAAAAGTAGGGACAAGATCTAAATCTACTAAAAGAAACTCTATGAAAAACAAAAGGGATCAGGCAACTGAAAATAAAACAGAACTAACTCCACTTAAGAAAAACAATAGGAAAAAAAAGAGTCAAAGTAGCTCTAAAAAAGAAGTTAAAATTGAAGAAATTCCCAAAACCAAACCTAGAACTCCAAAAAGTAAGTTTCTGCAAACATTTTACAGAATTATTTATAAAAATTGCTTTCGTAGAGTCACGCGAATATTTGACATTTGAAATAAAATTATCTTTTCGGATTATTTCGCAAATAATTTTGATTTTTGGTTCCCCAACGTTTCAAATTAAGATCACGAGAGAGATTAAGGTTTTAGACGTCTCGTTCGACGTTAGTAAAAGTTGAGTAGAAAATGACTATATTGGTCAATTCTTGAATGTTTTCAAAGAGTCACTCGAAAAACAAAGTTCATTCAAACCAAAAATTTAAATTAATTATTTATTTCAAAAAGTTTGTTTTTATATAAGCTACAAATTCTATTCCGAAGCTAAGAAAAGAAAACCAATTTTTTTTCGCCCCACCTTACCATACATGGGAATAGTAATTAGTATCATACTTTTAATTTTCAATTTTAATTTTTAGAAACAGTGCGAAAAACCGAAGTTACAGTTTACAGGGGAAAACTAAGGAGCAGTAAACGCAAAAAGCAGTAATTTAAGTATTAAGAATACAATAAAGTCCATTTTAAATTTCTTAAACAAGGACTTCAAAGTAAGTGATATATTTGCTTGTTAAATTCAAGTTCAAAAGAAGTAGAATAAGCTTTAATGAGGAACCTGCATTTTTTAAATTATATAAAAATGATCTGTATAAATTGTATTTTTGTATTGGCAACATATTTAACCATTTATCTTTACACATGTACCTACCTATAAAAGTTCGAGACTGTTTTAATAAGTTTATTTAAGTCAATTTGTATTCATTTATTTCCTTACCCTAAAATATTTTTCGTTAAAGTTGCCAATTGCCATTAGTTTAGACATATTTTTGTGATTTACTATATAGAAAATAAGTTTTCAACCATCAATAAATCTTTTGTTTCTAAATGCTGTATTATTTTTGGGACAAAATCTGATTTATTGTTATTATAAAATATTAGAAATGCTATGTGGTGTGTGTAAGTTACTCCTTCATGTTGAAACAGCAGGACATAGATAAAATTTATAGTATACAGAATATGACATGGTTCGTTGTTATAGTTAATTTTATTATTATTATTATTATAGTAAACCTAATAAGTTCTACATTAGATCAAAATGTATTTTATTTGCTATTAATTATTAGACATTGTCCTTCTTTGTTCTTGATATATTTTCCAATCAATTTGTATATACTCTATAGTAATGTGTTTCGAATTCAAAGGATAAAAAAATGGAAAGACAGAGTAAGACAAATTTTGTTTAAAGGCGTCGACAACGACATCTCGAGGGGTCAGACTACGCGTCAGCGTCAATGAAACGCTATTTTCACTCTTACAGAGTACACTTTTGTTTGACAACTTTTACTTATGGATAGAATATTACATCTATACATATAATAAAATTGTAACTAAGCCGAATCTGTATATTAAATATTTTTTTGGAAATTCTTATTGAAATATACATTATTATCGACACAGAAGCCGAATCTATAGTTTTTAGAATTTTTGTCTGTCTGTTACCGCATCACAGAAAAATCACTAGAGGAATTTTGATGAAATTCGGTATGATGCTAGCTGGTTATCCGGGTCAACATATACGATACTTTTTACCGCGGTAAAATGTCTCATTTCTGAGAAAAAATACAAAAACTGCAATGTAAGAGTAAACTAGTATGTAAAACCTAAGAATTTAGCTTTTGGTCATCTGAACGCGGGCGGAGCCGCGGGCAATGCTAGTATAAGCTATATATGGCCTAGATAGTAGGTAGAAATTTGACAATTAAAATACAGTGACACCATAGAGTATATTGCTACATATATAACTGTTGCATATTGTATTATTCGCGTCCCGAGTACGCGTCACAGGCCGTAGCGGGGGTGCTCCAGCGGGGTACTGGCGAAGGTTCGGGTTTTTATTCATTATTTAAAAATATTAGAATAAATAAAAAAAAAACAACACAAATTGTGAAATACGTCATTACATATTTTTTGGTACAAAATTCACGCCTAACTATTCAGCCGTTACAGAGAAAATTTACAATTTACGTTGAAAAAGGCCCTAGTTAATAAATTTTTTTTCCAAATTTGAGAAAGTTTATTAAAATTTAAAACAATACAATGTATTTGTGATAACCTTAAGTAAACTATATATTTTTTCAAAAGCGATTGTTTTTACCATAAAAAACGGAAATATGTGCTTACACATATTTCAACAATATTTAAAGATGCCAATTATTTTTTGTTCGCATGTAATAAATGTATTGAATGTTTATAAACATAAAATGTATTTAGTGTAACATTTTATTTTATTTACAATAATATCAAACAATATAAATAAAAAATAACATTTTTAATATATTTATTACAATTACAATATTATTATAATACAGCACTGTGTAGTAACTGTTGTAATTTTGTTGTTTTACATACTAGTGGCTACAATTTGCACCGCTCAGGTATGTTTAGAAGAGACGTTTTTTTTTTTCGACTTTATTTACAATTATTATCAATATCATACCCGTAGATTCTTTTTATAAAATATTTACAAATATATCCTAAAACCTATTTAGATACAGTAGTTTCCGAGATTATTCGTAACAAACACAGCTATTATTGATAAATTATCGTGATTACAAAGATGTTTTCCAAAATATGGAAGTGGAGAAATATTCATAGGTACGTCGTACATAAAATAATACAGTAGAAATATGTTTTATGCAATATTTCTTTGTTTACAATAAGAAGGCACAGAGTGTATAAAAACAATTTTTGTAATAGTATTTGACTTCGACAAATAATGTTTACTAACGTTGCAAATATAAAAGTTTTTTTTTACGATTATGGAAATGATCACATATTTATAAGTATATTTTTTTTTTAATTATATACATCAACATTCGAAAAAAACGTACATCAGAGTTCAAAACCATACATCAACACTCAATTATACATCAGCATACAAAACGGTACGGTAGTGGTAGCCCAGTGGTAACGCGCTCGCTTGGGAAACCGAGTGAAGCGGGTTCAAATCCCGGGTTGTTCACCTCTGACATTTTCATGTGCGAATCATTTCCAATATGATTACCACTTGTCTTAACGGTGAAGGAAAACATCGTGAGGAAACCTGCATGTCTGAGAAAATCTAGCATGTTTTCAAAAGACATGTGAAGTCCGCCAACCCGCACTTGGCCAGCGTGGTGGACTACGGCCTGTTTCCTCTCGTACTGAAGGGAGGCCCGTGCCCAGTAGTGGGACGTTAAAAAGGGCTGAATACATACGTACATACACATGCAAAACGGTTAAATGTATATAGACAACTGATCAAAAGTGAAGGAAAAGGTAAGAAGTAAAAGCGATACTACATAAAAAAAAAGAAATAAATTAGGCAGAATGGTGTCTTTTGAAGCAAGGTACCACGCACAGGGCCACGTTACAAGCTTCACATTTGTACGGCGTCATTTGCACTTTCCGCTCTTCCTTCAAGCAAACGACGCACTTCTGCCGGCCATGACGGTTCCTTTTAAGATCGGATTTGTTTTGCGGCACTCGAACGGGCCAATGTGCGTGGTTGATCTTATGAGGGAAAGGTGCTATTCTACGATGAGATGATTGTGACTTGCGATGCGATGGAATGAATGCATGGTGATGGGTAAGGATGCCATTGTCCCAATAAGAACGAAAAGCATCATACGGCGTCGTGTACGATGCAACTGAACCAATTTGGTCAGCTTTAAAAGTTTCTTCCTTATCGCGAAAGGTCTCCATCGGCGACAAATGGAGATCCTCCCCTGCCAATCGCGATTCACTCCTTCCATCAGTGGCGTCATACAATACACCCTCAGCCACGCTCTCGCTTACGTCCCCACCATTTTGGCCTACCAGACTTACGTAGGTGGTTCTCCTCCTCGGTACACCCTGCACTCTCGCCTGTCGCCTCCTCACAACATCCCTCGCCATCACACGCAGCTCTTCGGGGACATCCTCATCGGTCAGCCAGATTTCGGTAAGTGGTTGACCAGGCTGCCAGCTCGATGCCTGGTGACAAAGACGTCCCCCTCCACGATCCTGCTTCGGACACCCACGCCTTTTGCTTGCTCTACCTCTCACACTCATTGCCCGACTGTCATTCCTATCATCAGTTACACCACCCTCAACAATTGATCCTCTTACATCACTCTCCAATTTCACATCACTCTCGGACCTCTCATACAGGACGGGGGTATCCGAGAGGAATAGATCTTTCCCCCTGGCTTCAGCGCCATCCTCGTTGAACATCTTGATTTTGATTCTAGCAAATTCATATCTATAATAAATAAACCATAATTAATACTGATAGACTCAAATTCCCTACTAAAATAGAAAAAAGTATTATACTAACGATTCTGGCGTTTGAAGAGCCAAGTGAGATCTCGCCCGACTGGAGACAGTGGCCACATTCTGGCCCCCCAGCAGTGCGAGTGGCAAAAATGGTGGACCTTGTAGTGACAAAGAGTCCTGTAAAAAAAGACGAAAAGATATCATGTGAAAGTTAAAAATGTGATTGGTACATTGAATAAAAAAATATTATTTATACCATCACTTCTTCGTCGCTAAAAGTTTCCTCATTGGAAACAAGCTCCTCACTATCTTCACCATACAGAACTTCCATAAAATCTGTGGGGTGCGCTCCTTCATTGGGATCCGACATTATAAAGCTGAAAAAATAAAACATGCAAAAGTAAAATAAAAACTTAATATAAAACATACATACATATACGTATGTAATTACATACATATAAAATTAAAATATATTCTATTATGATTACACTTACGTAGTAACTTTCGATCAGAATCTAAAAAATAATAAATATTTTATACTAAGTAAATAAGTCTTATTTACGTACATATCATACATGTAGCCAAAAAAACACATACATAAAAATAAAAATATTATATATAAATATTATGTTTACAGTTATATAAATACGTATATAAAAAGAAAAAGAAGTATTCCCTCCACGACTGCGGACACGCCGGCGTTACAATTAACAATAGATTTCTTAGAAATTTAATTAATTTCTTAGAAATTTACCTGAAGGTGAATATATTATACGTATTCGATTCAATTTATATATATAAAAATTCGAGAACGGCGGGACTGATTTGAGGAAGGGCAGGGAAGGTTTAAAAGGGGAGTAAATATGAAAAAATGCTTGGAATATAGTAAAAACAACAATTTCGCTTTCCCTTAGAAACTATTCCTTTAGTATTTGGTTTTGAATGTCAAACATTTGATGTTTGTCCCGTCGTTTAGAAATCAATTGAACTTTAAAGTCGTTTAGAAATGAAATAAAATTTAAAAGTGAAGTTTTTTTTTATTTTTTTTTGGTTTTGGATGTCAAACGTCTGATGTTCGTACCGTCGTTCATAAATTAAATTAATAGAATACTTTTCTTTTTTTTTCATTTGTTTCAGAAATCAAATTTTTAAACGAAAACTTTTATTTACTTTTTCATTTGTTTTTGTGATTTGACATTGACAAGGGACAACCAACAATTTCTGATCGCAACTATATTATTTAATACAATTAAAGGTAAGTATTATGCTTCAATCCAACCGGAGGTTCCAGTCTCCCCGTGGTTCTTTCGATTTCGCCGTGCTGACCGCAAAACCACCTCAATTATATGTAGGCTTCGTCTAGGCCATGCGTGTACTCCGGTTCATTTAGCAAAATTAAAAATTAGAAATAGCTCTATTTGTGAATGTGGCTTAGATGAGGGTTCCACTGATCATATTCTCTTTAATTGTCCCAAACTGAAATGTTCTCTATATGATATAATCCCTCCTCAAATTCACCGCCCAGTTAACACCAAATGTTTATTAGCCCTTGTATTTAGCCCATTTATTAAAAAACTAGTTAAATTTATAGTAGATAATAAAATTAAATTATAATATAGTTCTCATTATGTATATATTTTTTCATTCTCAAGCAATGTGTCATTTTTGTATTACGTTATTATTTTTCTATTGTTATAGGTTACTCTTGTAGACCGATCATTCATTTATAGTTTTAATTCCACAATAAAGTTACCAAATTTCAAAATTACCGCTCAATCTCATTCGTGTCTTCCTCACAAAACGTGACACTGGCAGAATGAATTGCGTCTGTTAACGCAACTATAAGCCATTATATAAAAAAAAATTAACGGTTGAATTTTATTTCTATGTGCTTAATGCGGTTTAATGTATAATGTGATAATGTATCATTGCAGTAAATTAGTGTGTTCTACGTCTAAGTTCTATGTCTTAACTTGTTAACGGGAGGGTTCCCGTTAACATATTACGTAGTAATATCGCGACGATGAAATATGAAACCAGTTACTATCAATCTTAGGCGAGAAAATAAAGATATCCCTAAAAAAATTATACTGTGATACAATAGTATCTATAATATAGACCATACTTATAAATAAAGACTACATTTGCATATAATAAAATTCTTAGTCGAATCTGTACATTACATATTTTTTGGAAAATCTTATTGAAAGAGACATTATTATCGATACAGAGGCCGAATCTATAATTTTTAGTATTTTTGTCTGTCTGTCTGTTACCGCATCAAGGAAAAACCACTGGAGAGATTTTGATGAAATTTAGTATGAAGATAGCTGGTTATCCGGGTCAACATATAGGATACTTTTTACCGCGGGAAAATATCTCATTACTGAGTAAAAATACAAAAACTGCAATTTAAGAGTAAACTAGTATGTAAAACCTAAAAATTTGGTTTTTGGTCATCTGAATGCGGGCGGAGCCGCGGGCAATGCTTGTTGACACACAAATGTACGTAGCACGATGATCGCGTAAGATGCATAACGGTTTTTTTGTAAAACGTTTTTGATACTTTTTTCTTTAAATAGTTTATGAAGCTTATTTTAAAGATCTTCAGCTATATTCACACGGAAATCACTTGAACGTGACGAGGTCGTGGAATACTACCGCTATTATGGTTAAACCGCTAGTAGAAAAAATTAAAAAATATAACAAACCTAACAAATCCAATTATGTAAATAGTTTTACTGTTTATCAAATAATAAAATTAATAGTTGTTGAAAAATTAACCACTTACCTTTAAAAAACACAAAATTACAGAGCTCGCACGTTCACGAATCAATTCTTTAGTATCGTGGCTTCAAGAAGACAGTCACAGGAGTGCCTTGAGCCTTTGGGCACTATTTATTGCGCCAATGTCAGGTAAAATGGAGAACAGGTGAATTGAAGGTATGGAAATTGAAAGGTATTTCATCGTCATAATTGAATGAACTGTACATTTATCTTCTCACTCCACTAATCCCTCCACGACCTCGAACACGCAGGCGTGTCATTTAACAATAGATTTCTTAGAATTTTAATTAATTTCTTAGAAATTTACCTGGAGCCTCTGGAGGTGTAAAACAATGGGCAAGTATTTTGCCCTTGTCTGTCGCTAGATAGCGCGATCACTATAGTCATCAGTATATAGTAAAGCTGTATAGCGTAATGGTTCTTTTTTTGATTTAAAATTGAATTTAAATAACTTTATGCAGTGCCAGGATGTAAAGGAAATGGATATCATTTGTTCCCAGAAATAAAAACTGAAGAAATTGTGGGCTAACTCTAAAATCATCTACAGGTGAATATTTTTTTTTTACATGTTACATACAAACTTTCATCACCGATTTTTTGCTCCTTATGGGATTTCTATTTGAATTTCTAAAATTGCTAAATCACATATTATTTAATTGTATTGAAGAGCATTAAAACAAAGCTTCAAGTAATTCTGATCCATGCCGCCGTGCGGCATATGTTACGTAATACAGTAACGTGGAAGGGGTAAACACTCGAGATATAGGTAATAAATAAATCAAATTTTTAGATTTCTGTATAGTTTGGATTTCATTTTAGTATGAAAAGGCTAGAATCTAGTGATATAAATAAGTTCTAGACTTCTATATTGACACTTGACAGTTGGTGTCAAATACGTAACGTTTGACGTAATATGTAATTTGTGACATAGATTATAATAGATAATGCAATATTGAATATAGGAACTAATTCATCTATTTTATTTGTCATCCATGTGTCTGTCGTAATGGTTACGATACGTTTCATGTAATTTTAAAAAAATATTTTTTATATATACACTTGTCCACTACAGTGTTAGTGACAAGTCATAATATTTTGTTAAACTAAGTTCTTCACTGTGTGAATAGAATTTCGAAAATGTTTTCATAGGTAACATAACCTACATTATTATAAATTGTCTAAATTAGTATATTATTTTACAATGGAAAATGAAAAAAAGGATGTTATACGAGTGGGTTCAAGGCAAAGTGAGGTATGTATATTCCACGTAAAGTGAAAACGATTTGTAGTAATTAATAAGTACATGATGATTTATGGTTATTAATGAATTCTATGTATCATTTTGCATATTTATAAACCATTTATGTATTATACACTTTCAGCTAGCGCTCATACAAACAAATTTCGTTATAGACTGCCTAAAGAAAATGTATCCTGAGAAAGAATTTACTATAGGTATGAAATAAATTTACTACATTATATTAAATTAATAGCAATTATATTTTTTTACAATATCACATAAGTGAATTACACATCAAAGACTAACTTTTGCATTAGGCCTAGTGTTTAATATGAGTACATATTATAGTATGAAATATACACACAAATATATTTTTAATATTTTATATGATGTAAAAATTGCATGTATGATGAATCTATTTCAATGTACTCAATTCATTTTTTTGCCTGTTTTAAGTAGCCAAATAAAAACCCTATTCTGCTTATTTTTCAGTGAAAATGACAACACTTGGAGATCGCATTTTAAATGTATCTCTACCAAAAATAGGTGAAAAATCCTTATTTACAAAAGACTTAGAAGATGCTTTAAGAAATGATTCAGTTGATTTTGTAGTACATTCCCTTAAAGATTTGCCAACTTCTTTGCCAGAAGGTCTTACGATTGGTGCTGTATTGGAAAGGTATATATCTCATGTTTTTTTTTAATTGTCCAAGCCTACAGCAAAATACTTAGGTTATAAAGAATAATATTAAATCTTAATATGAAAGTTTCTATAATTGAGAGAAAATTGCATTAATAATGTAGTTCTAAAAACTTCTTTAAAAGTTACAATAGCCTATAAAGTGCAAAGTAGATACTGTATTATCAAAGGTAATTAAATGAAACAAGAAAAATTTAAATTACCTGCCTTTAAATGTACATAAAAATATTGCAAGTCATAGACAGATAAAATATGATATACAAGTAATAAGATTTATGTAACCAATATCAAAATTTGTCACTGTGATTTCTAAATAACTATTCCATATTAGCCTTATATATTTTTTGTTTAATATTTTATCGTATTCAAACCTTTATACCATCCCACTGCTGGGCACGGGCTTCCCTTTAATATGAGGGGGAGCAGGCCATAGTCCACCACTCTGGCCAAGTGTGGGTACCGAGTGGCTTTCACATGTTTTTCGAAAATGCGCTAGGTTCTCTCAGACATGCAGTTTTCCTTTACCGTTATATTGTGGTAATCATGTTGGAAATGACTCGCACATGAAAATATCAAACATGCGAGACTCGAGATTTGAACCTGCTTCACTTGGTTTCCCAAGCGAGCGTGTTACCATTAATACAAAATTTATATAAATTTATTAATATAAATGACCTAAGAAAAGTGGCGGGCTGCCCAGGACCGGGATGGTCGGCGCTCATTGGGGGAGGCCTTTATTCAGCAGTGGACGGTGATATTCTGATTGATTGATTGATATTGATATAAATTTATTAATCTATACAGATAAATAAAATTGAAGTGTCTGTTTGTATTGTCAAAATAAAAGCTTTTTTCTAAAAATGTATATGAAATTATATACAATACTTATAATCATCACAAATTAGAAAAAAAACTGTCTGTCTGTTTGTTCCGGATAGCCTTTGAAACGGCTGGACTGATTTGGACGGGATTTTTACTGGCACTGGCAAAATTAAAACGCACCTAGGGATGCGCCCGAGCAAAGTGAAAAAAAATATAATACTTTGTTATTTATCCATAGAGAAGATCCTAGAGATGCATTAGTTCTAAGGGAAGATGTCAAAGATCTGACTCTATCTACTTTACCAGAAGGATCTGTTATTGGTGAGTACTTAAAAGAAAATTTATATGAGTGAATTGAAATCCTTTTATGTAATTTTTAAAGTCAAAATTGTGTTTTCAATAAAAAAAAATTGTTTTACAATATACCTAATACTCACCGGCTGGTAGGCATGGTTGGATAGATCTAAAAACAACTTTTGGTTTTACAAAAAAAAATGTCTAAAATACTAAGTTTTATTAAGAAGTCCAAACTAGGAAATAATGAAAATATTCACCTGAGTTACAGAGCCTATTATTATAGAAACCAAAATCAATTTCCATACTGTAAATTGCTAACGGTTCTACAAGTTCCCTTATAACATAATGACGATGAAGCGAGTGTTAGTCGCTAGTCTATACATATAATAAAATTGTAACTTAAGTCGAATCTGTACATTAAATATTTTTTGGAAAATCTAATTGAAATAGACATTTTTATCGAAACAGAGTCCGAATCTATAGTTTTTAGAATTTTTGTCTGTCTGTCTGTTACCGCATCACGCTGGTTTTAGATTTTGATGAAATTTGGTATGATGATAACTGGTTTTCCGGGTCAACATATAGGGTATTTATTACCGCGGGAAAATATCTCATTTCTAAGAAAAAATACAAAAACTGAATTGTAAGAAGCAGAAGAAGAGAAGTATACTAATATGAAAACCTAAGAGTTTGGTTTTTGGTCATCTAAACGCGAGCGTAGCCGTGGGCAATTCTAGTATATTATAAAGAACATAATAACCCAAATGATTGTTTTACGTTGAAGGTACATCATCGCTACGTCGCACAGCGCAGTTACGGGGTTCGTACCCACATTTAACTGTATCAGATGTTAGAGGCAATCTCAATACCAGGCTTCGTAAACTGGACGCGTCTACTAAAGACTACTGCGCTTTATTGCTGGCAAATGCTGGCTTGCAAAGAATGGGATGGGGGGATAGAATTTCGAAGGTATCTAATTATAAGTTAAATCTATACAGATAAATAAAATAAAAGTATCTGTTTGTAATGTCAAAATAACAGCTTTTTACTAAATACATATGAAAATGTATACAGTACTTATAATATATAAAAAAAAAACAATTTTAAAAATTCTTGTATGTCTGTCCGTTTGTTCTTTTCTCCTCCCGTTGTTTTCTCCGAAACGGCTGGACCGATTTTGACGAGACTTTCACTGGCAGATAGCTGATTTTTATGGAGTAACTTTTATTTAAAAAAAAGGTTTAGACTTAAGGGTTCCGCGCAAAAAAATAAAATCAATGCGTACCTAGGATGGACCCGAGCCTAGCGAGGGTAAGTGTGATGCAAAGCAAATCTAATATATTTCGATATGTAAAATACATATTTACCTATTAGATATTCATATCATAAAATATTGTCGGCTGGCACCGACTTCGAAAATATCTGATTAGGTAGGTAACTTTTCTAAATGAAAACCTCCTTTTAGTTACTTTTTATATTTTAATGCCTGGAGGTCGGTTTTTTTTAAGTTTTTATTTTTCCATTTTTAGTGTAGACGTAATAAGCAGGTAATTTGTAAGAAGAAAGTTTTTCAATAACATATTCAACTAAACAATTTATTAAAAACATACATTTATTGTTGATTTTTTTAAAAACCGCTCGACCGATTTCGATAAAATCCGAATTTATATGGCCACCTGGGAAGTACACCCTTTGAAACAAAAAAAAATTCCAAATCTGTTCAGGCGTCTTCGAGTAATCGGTGAACATACATAAAAAATAAAAGATTCCGACGAATTGAGAACCTCCTCCTTTTTGAAAGTCGGTTAAAAATCGAAATAATGTTATAAATTTACAGTGTTTGCTTCGTCTTCCTGGTGGAAATTTTACAACGGCTTATTTGTTTATGTAGCATAATATAAACTAAAAAATTATATTTTAATTCAGAGTTCTCCTAAAACATAGACTTTTCTTTTCGACGCTAATATTTCCCATGCTTATTCTTCTATATAATAAACATTAAATACTGTTTGTTGGTAAGTGCGTCATTTGAGAATGGTTTAACGACGACTTGGCTAATTTTATTTTCAACATGTATGGTTTTTAGGGGGAATTATTTGAAAAATTTAAATGTTCATATGTCTATAAAATTTTAATATTTGATCGTAATTAATTTAAATTAGCACACGACGTGTTTTCAGTCTACTAGTAAATAAATCTATTTCAATTTTAACCTAAACATCCAATACAATTTTTACACAGTTATATTTATTATTTATTACTAGCGACTCGCCCTCACTTCGCTTATGTTCGTGTGTCGGTATGTTTTGACGCTTAGTATGGAATAGATATTTTTCAAAACGTAGATCATAAAAATGGGTCCTGCAGTTTTCGAGTTATAAGTATTGTACAAACCCGACTTTGTTTTATATATATAGATAGATATATCACATCAAAAAAGAAATTTTACATAATATTTTTAGATTTTACCATGTTCAGAGATGATGTATGCAGTCGGTCAAGGTGCCCTAGCAGTGGAATGTCGGTCGGACAATGAAGACATACTCAATATGTTGGCACCGTTCAATCACCCGGAAACGTACTGCAGAGTGCTGGCTGAGAGAAGCTTTTTAAAAACACTTGGTATGTATAAAATAAATGAAAGAGTAGTTTAATATTAAGGAATAAAGAAAAAGACTTGTGTTAAGCCTTTTTAACATCCTACTATAATTGTACTTTCTTTCAATACGAGGGGTATCAGGCCATAGCCCACCACGCTGGCCAAGTGCGGGCGGACTGAGCATGTATTACGACAACTTGCTAGGTTCTCTCAAACATGCAGGTCTCCTCACGATGTTTTCTTGTAAGGCAAGTGTCAATCATGTTGGAAAATGATTCGCAAATGAAAAAATATCAGAAACGCAAGCGCGTTAATTGAGCTACCTCTGCTCGAAAAAGTTGTTTAAAGTGTACATGAGTAAATATCTCCATAGAGACAAAGCTTTGTGCAACGTCTTATCGTTAGTTGACGTATTATATAATAAGAAAATTTCAATAAATCATAAATATACATATCTTATTATATTATCTTATCTTATAATATCAAATGAGCAATTCTTGTATATCCATACTAATATTATAAATGTGAAAGTGTGTTTGTTTGTTTGACTTTCTTTCACGTCGAAACGGAGTGACGGATTGGCGTGATTTTTTGTGTGAAGATAGTTGGAGGGCTGGATAGTGACATAGGCTACTTTTTACCGCGGGAGATTATCTAATTCCCACAGGAAAACACGTTATAATACAATCCAAAAAATATTTATAATCAGAATTATGTGAAACTTGGTATTAGTGCTCTTCAATACAATTAAATAAATACGTGTTTCAGCATTTTTCGAAATTCATCCCATAAGAGGGTAAAATAGGGGATGAAAGTTTGTATGAAACATACCTTTTCTCTCTATCTCCGCCCGCGTTCAGATGACCAAAAACCAAATTCTTAGGTTTTACATGTTAGTATACTCTTACATTGCAGTTTTTGTATTTTTTCTCAGAAATGTGACATTTTCCCGCGGTAAAAAGTATCCTATATGTTGACCCGGATAACCAGCTATCACCATACAAAATTTTATTAAAATTCCTCGAGTGGTTTTTCTGTGATGCGGTGACAGAGACAGACAGACAGACAAAAATTCTAAAAACTATAGATTCGGCCTCTGTATCGTTAATAATGTTTATTTCAATAAGATTTTCCAAAAAATATTGAATGTACAGATTCGGCCTAGTTACAATTCTATTATATGTATTTTATTATTTCGTGTATCTCGGTAACGGCTCTTAACGATTTGGATCAAATTTTGCATTTAGACAAGTTTTTGCTTTTTAAGAAGTTTTTGTTTTCTAAAAAAAACTCAGTTTTTCACAAAAAAAAGAAACTTATTAATTATTAAAGCTTGTTTTTATCTGCTCTCATACTGACAATGTAATAAAGCGCCATCTCGTAAACGTTTGGGGAATTTGCATTGTCGCCAATGGATGATAACCTACTGGACGAACCTACGCCGAATAAAACGAAGGTCGGCCAGGTATTAATAATAATATATGTTAAAACATACACACACAGCACCATCTAGTTCCATGGTAAGCTGGTTGACATACTATTACATATGAATTGTAAGTTTGTGACGTTGTAGGGAGTAATATTTGGATCTACTGAACCCATTTAGATGAAATTTTGTAAGAAGATAGTTTTAGACCCGGGGAAGGACATAGGATACTTTCTATCCCGTAAATCATCCCTTAAGGCAGTGAAAATGGGGATGAAAGTTTGTATGGGGAATCAACCTAGGGACGAGTCGCTAGATATAAATATAAACACTTATGACTGGAGTACAAACATACGTACTCATCACACAAATGAATGCCCCTAGCGGGCCTCGAACCCACGACCGCTGGCACTGCAAGTAGGATCACTATAAACTGAGCCAAAATAAAAATAAGATATGAAATTCCTATACTTTTAGGTGGTGGTTGCAGTGCACCGGTGGGCGTCTCAACAAAGCTAAAACCTTTAGATGCAAGTTTCAAACTATCAATAACAGGCGGAGTATGGAGTTTAGACGGTCTCACTAAAATACAAGACACAATGGAACAAACGTTCGCTCAAATAAAAAAAACACAAAAACACAAATTAAGCCCTACAGAAGAGAGTAGTGTGAAAAAAATAAAAATCGACGAAACAAAAATGAATGACAAAAATTATAATCCATTACAGGAATTAGATGATAGAATTGCAAATCGTGTTAGTGCCAATTGTATTGATTTGACAGATGGAGTGACAGAAAGGCGGATATTTTGTGGTTTGACAGAAAACGTCAATGTACCAACGGACGTTATAATTAAATGTGATACTTTAGGTCGAGATTTAGCTGATAATTTAATATCGAAAGGTGCTTTAGATGTGATGAAGGTTACTCAGGATCTTATAAGGAGTTCTATTGTAAAATCTTGACTTTTTGTTATATTTATATATTTGATTGTTGAAAGGGCTCTAACAATTGATATTATTTCTAGACTAAATTTATCTACTTGTTTTTCTTCTTATTATTTATTTATCGAATAAGTTCTTTGAAATAACAGTCTTCTGTCTGATAGAAAATCTTAGATATTATCAAAATTTATTTCAATATTCATCTTATTCCTGTGGTAGCTATTTTCCGGGATAAAAACATAGTATATTAACTATTTGAAAACCGAATTATTTCCATTTTTGAAATGCCATATCCTATATAAACTTCTTCGAAAAAAAAACAAATTAATTCCTACCAATAGTGTTTCATTAAGTTTCATTCAAATCAGTTAAATTTAAAATTTCATTTTTTAATGCAATGACCCAAGGAAGTCATGGAATTATTTGCGGAAACTATGGCGCATACGCTTTAAATAATATTAGCCGGAACAAAAATGTTACACATGGTTAATGAGGCTTTTAATTTTATAAGCTTATCAAACTTATAAAATTAAAAGCCTCATTAACCATGATTATTATATATATATATATATATAAAGTCGGGTTTGTTACAACATGTTATAACTCGAGAACTGCTGGACCAATTTTTATGATCTTTGTTTTGTTGGATTTATCTTCACCCCGAATAGCAGAAAAACTATTAAAACATGGGAAAATTCACGAAAAAAAGGAATTAAAAAAAAACTATTCCATACTAAGCGTCAAAACATACCTAGGGACGAACCTGAGCGAAGCGGAGTCGCTTGTTTATATAAAAGTACTACATATGTTTATGTTGTCTTATTATAATTTATTTTAAATTAAGCTATCTTTTCGGATTTTTTTGCTGATTTATTATGATTTTTGGTTCCAGACGTTTCAAATGCTTTACAGGAATCGTACCGTGATCATCCAAAAACATAGTTCCAAATAGCATTCGAATTTTATTAAAAATGTCAAATATTCGGGTAAATCTAAGAAAGTATTATTTTAATTTAGATAATCACAATATATATATTTACATCTATATGTATGAAGACATAATTAAAATGGTAGAGAGCTCTTCTTCAATCTAATTTTTATTTTGTTGATATTTATAGTTGTTTTTAGGTACTTATCCCGGGACATATAATCATAGTTGGTACTTATTATGTGTGTTTGGAGGAACTGGGTTATTTATCAATGTTTAATAAAATGGTATATTACACAACATGTTTTATTATCTACTATACTATTTTTATTATAGCATGGTGCGGGTGACACTTACCATATGAATTTGGAAGACTGATATTTTAAAATAATGATGTCCTCCCGACCGATTCGGCCACGGTGGCTAATCTCATTGAGACTAGCCAACTGCACAGGAGATATTATAGTGCACAAGTGTGCGCACAGACACAAAGTGCACTCTCTATTCCTATCACTCATACTCTGGTGGAACGAGTACTGGAAACGGCCAGTGAGAGTTCAGACGCAGAACCGACGGTTTTACGTGTTGTCAGAGGCACGGGTGTAAAACACCGCCAACTTCCCAACTCCGGGCTAAAACTGAGACGTTTTTGAAGACTGAATAACTAAACTTGACCCGACAATTCGAACCGGAATTCGAACCTCCGGATATGCAGCCGTACTTACATGTTAGCCACTACACCACAGAGGCAGTCAAAGAAATGCATTTTTAGCCACGTTGACAGGATTAGTCTAGTCATAATAACTAATGTCAAAGCAGGCTTTGAGAAAAGTAAAACACGGTCCACTTCTGATTAAAGTCCACATCATAGTGTGCTTTGATTGTTCGTTTACATGATCAAAGTTGCGTCAAAGTAGTCCTCAAAGCTACTTTTACAAAGTGGACTTTGATCATGTCAAATAATTTATATAAAGGGTCAAAAAATATTAATATATTTTCACCTTCATTTATGGCATGTACAGAGCTAGTATAAAATATTACAATAATATATTATATTAATTCATAAGATTGAGCAGATTAATTGAATAGAAATGATAATTAAATCATTGAAATCAAAGAAACAAAAATAATTTGTACAATATTTTTATTTCACAATAAAAACAATCAAAACACAAGCATTCTTAACCATGAACACAAATCACTACCAACTAAAAACAGAAATGAACATTTCTGCTCAACTTTAAAAAACGGTTATTGATTTTTTCTCACAGCCTTAACAATAATGAGAAAAAAATGATTGTCATAGTTTAGATAGCACATTGTAATACTAATTTAACTCCAATAATGAATTCAGAAGTAAATTATTAAATATTAATCAAAATTAAAGGAATGGCCAACTTTAATCCATTTCCACTTGCAGTCTATTAAATACTCAAAATTCATATAATAAAAGTGCATACAACTGTAAGTTTGGTGTTATGCATCCATTTTTACGGCTATTAATTAAACTACATATACCAATTTTGTGTTAAAAATGACAATTTTGAAAAACTTTCTATGGACATCATTCAAAAGCAACCATTAAATAAAAATAAACACAAATTGACATTAGAAACTTTAGTTTGAATTGCAATCACTACATCTAATAAGGTTAAATTAATAGTATTTAAGTTATAAACAAACTGATTAATTATATTTGTTTTCTATTTGTCTAACAACATACCGATAGTGCTACGTTACTAAACATTGGGTATATGACTAACACAAGTTAAAAGCAAATTTTCTATATTTTTGAATAACTTAATACTATTTCTATTCACTCATGACTTTATATAATTAATATTTAACATATTATAAAAAAAAAACTACTTATAATAAACAAGTAATCAAAAATTATTTAATATAAAAATTCCCATTATTATTTTCATGTGTCATAAAACTTGTAGTGGTCATTTGACAAAAAATATTCTATGATGGCTAATATTTTCTTCTTTATATACTTATAATTCAATTGCTCTATACAAGTTTTAGTCAAATACCCCATTTTAACACAGAGGGGATGTTTTATTCAACATCTTCCTCTTGCAAGGCATCGTTTGCTCTCATGGAACCTCTAAGACGTTCTGTCACTTCAGGTAATTTCTTCAATAGAAGGTGGAAGATTGGTGCTGGCATTGTTTGTTGCAGCACCTGGAAAAAATAAAATAAAAATCTATAAATTTGCACATTACAAATATTTGTACTTTATTAGTGAGTTGAGTCAATTCTTCCTCTTTGAATAAGTATTTTACTCTGGCCCATAAAGTAATAATTTTTAGGCTATATATCTAGTTTGAAATATCAAATTTATATGGTTATACTTATAGCATGTTGAAAATACAATTTACTTACACTAAGTAATTGTTGTGTTTGTCCGCATACAGCAACAGCTTGGCCGAGATGTTCAACACCAGCCTCCAAGTCTCCAGCTGCTAATAACTCTTCGCCAAGTTGAATCTAGAAAAGAATGTTAAAATTTTTATTAGACTACAATAACTACCAAAAAGAAATTATTTTTATTCAAATTGAGATGCCAGTTAGGAAATAAGTACTGGATAAATTTTTGAAGTATAAAAAAAATAATATGATCAGCTTTTAATGTACCTGTTGCAAGAAGAATCTTTGCATTGCCTCATGATCTCTCATGTCAGGCAAAGGCCCACCAAGAGTGCGAGACCGCGACGAATTTTGTTGTGCTTTTTCACGACCTATGAAATAATGACAGCATTTAATTCAGTAACATAAATAATAACTTATCTATGATATTCATGAAAGATTAATAAATTGAACTTACTTTTGCTATCGAGAAATGGAAAGTTTTTAGACTAGCATAATGTTGTAATCATCTAATTAAAATGGTTACATGCTATTACTTGTATGTATTAATTCAAAAGAATGTGGCATGTATCAATATAATAATTTGCGTGACCAACTATGAATTATAAGTAGCCGACATGAACATTTTTAGGTTGTAAAATTATACAACAGGCTCAAACATAGGTATATACCGTATACATACTTTAATATTTTATGTTACCAATATATTACCAATAAAATTTAATACATATGATGCCTTTAACAAACTCATAAATATTTATTATACTTACGTTCTCTTAACTTTTTCTTGAAGAGAGGATCTTTACGACGTTGTTGGTCAAAATAAACACAATATCCTAAGAATAGTGTCCCTGCTAGACCAACAGCTATACCAAGGGTAGTGCGAGTAATCTCCATGTTATATTATGTTTCTTAAAAAATATTCATAAAATACACAGAATTAAACACTCGCTTTTGTTAAGAAATTTTGCGCTCCGCTATAAATTACTCAGTAAAAGAGATCGAAACTTCGAAAGTTGGTACTAGGTAGTATATTATAATTCTTGAATATTGGCAAAACATGCGACAATAATAATTATGCGTTCGATACAATTTGTCTATTGCTTTGTGTCTATTTGAAAATTTCCTGTATAAAATTGTCCTATTTAATCATTAAACATATTAAAATAATATAAAGAATACATTATTATAAGTAATTGTGATCATTCCCAAAGCAAAATATTTTTAATTCTTTATATTGAATGACCATAGGTACATATTATAGAATTGTTGCCATAACCTAAAAAAGTACATACACAGGATTGAAATTTGAGATTCGCTTTTCATTTAAAAATACTTTTAATTTTTATTTATGCCGATTGACCCCTGCAAGAAATTCGCTTGTCAGATCCAGAAATGTCTGAATGGTAAGTTTTTATGGCGTTATTTTATTTACGATCCTTGCCGCCGACATTAGACATAATTGTAGTCGCCATCTTTGCTTCAATCTTTCAGTCGCCTCCAGATTTGCGGGCGTTTCATCGCCGTTTTTCAATGTTTTGCTCAATTCAGTCACTATTTATCCTTTTAAAACCAACATAAAAAGTTTTTGATCGCTTGCGTAACAGTTAAATGTAAAAATGAGCTTTTTCGGGTTCGGACAAACCGCGGATATTGAAATTGTGTTTGACGATGCTGACAAACGAAAGGTTGCCGAAGTTAAAACGGACGATGGAAAAAAAGAAAAATTATTACTATATTATGACGGTGAAACAGTGTCTGGGAGAGTTAATGTTACTCTGCGAAAACCTGGATCCAAATTAGAGCATCAAGGGATCAAGGTTGAACTTATCGGTCAGATAGAATTATTTTACGATAGAGGTAATCATCACGAGTTTATATCATTAGTGAAAGAGTTAGCGCGTCCTGGAGATTTATTACAACACACATCCTATCCGTTTGAGTTTGCGAATGTGGAGAAACCGTACGAAGTTTATACAGGTTCCAACGTCAGACTAAGGTACTTTTTACGAGCAACTATAGTTCGTCGCCTTACAGACATTGTAAAAGAAGTCGATATAGCTGTTCATACATTATGCAGCTATCCAGATGTTTTAAACTCTATAAAAATGGAAGTTGGAATCGAGGATTGCCTTCACATAGAATTTGAATACAATAAATCAAAATACCATTTGAAAGATGTAATAGTAGGTAAAATTTACTTCCTACTAGTTCGTATTAAAATAAAACACATGGAAATATCAATAATTAAAAGGGAAACCACTGGTTCAGGTCCAAATATATTCACGGAGAATGAAACAGTGGCAAAATACGAAATAATGGATGGAGCTCCAGTAAGAGGTGAAAGTATTCCCATTAGAGTGTTTCTAGCTGGGTATGATTTAACACCCACAATGAGAGACATTAATAATAAATTTTCTGTAAGATATTACCTAAACTTAGTGCTAATGGATACAGAAGACAGACGCTACTTCAAACAACAAGAAGTTACATTATGGAGGAAAAGTGATAAATCTAGGCTGCCATTACATAATCCGCACCACCCACAAACTTTGGCCCATCCATCAACAACTCCACAAAGACAACTAAGTGCATCAAGTGAAGAGAATTCAGCGAGAGGATTAACACCTTCTATGCCTGACAATACATTACAAAGATCTGTATCACCAATGCCTAATACAGATAAACATAATGGACCCACACAAATGGAACAAGAAGAACCTGATGTACTACCAAACAAATTATCTAACACACACATTGAAACGAGTGAGCCAATGCCAGAAGCAGATGAAAAAGCAGTGGAGAGGCCCAAAGTGTCAGAAAAACCACTTGACAAGCCACCATTAGAAGATCAATCATTACAATCAGAGCAACCTGTTGATGAAATACCCCAATCAGGAGACAAACCACAAAATGTTAATAAATCACTTGAAAAACCTGTAGCTGAAAAAATTGCCGTGGCTGAGAAGCCTTTAGTAGCTGAGAAACCCAAACTTGCAGAAAAACCAGTAATATCTGAGAAACCAGTTCTTTCACGGCCTGAAAGTGTTGAAGCTACTCCAAGTCAATAGCCTACATGCACTTGTGCGGTTGACATTACTGTCTCCGGTGAAATGAACTTTGTGTTTTCATACTTGAAAACAATTGTTTAGACATCTATTATTTCAAAATTGCAGTTTGCTTATATTATTTGAAATGCAAATTGTATTGAATCATCATGTATGGGTAAGTGTATAGTGTTGCTATAGACAAAAAAAAGTTACATAGCAGTGTAAAAATTAGTTTTTATAAAAAGCATATTTTAATATATTTTTGCCACATTTTTATATCATTAAGTTGTTGTATATCAGCCAACCTACATTAAGTATGTCAACTTAAAAGCTAAATTATATTATTATGAAGACACATAAAATTATTTTACAAATTCTTGATATCAAAAACATATTTTATTTCTTGAGTTGATAAATAAGAAATTCTGTTGTATAAGATATCTGCCTAAATATATATGATATGAATATAAATGATTTCTTTGAATTATCAAACTTGTATTCTTTGCAATGCAAAAGCAGCTTTTATTTATTTACCTAACATAGCAGTAAGCTTATGGAAATACATATATTTTTTTCAATAAATCTTTTAGTGCCATTTGCTGAAATATTACTTAACATGCAAACATTATTAATCATAATTGCCATACCCACATTGGTATTAATATAAAATAAATTACAAATACAAACATCAATAAAATTATTATATAAAATGATAATTGTTTAGTATTCATATCGGCCAAATTGTGACTGGCAAATAATTTTTTTTTAATGTGTCTAATATATTTTTTAGTTCTGCATTATTGTAAAAGTTAAAAAATGAATCAAAAATTGTATCACTTTAACTCGAGTGTATTTTTATTCATTATCAAAATGGCTTATATTAAAAAAAATATAAAATTGTATTCACAGATCAGTCGAGTAAATCAATTAATTTTAACTAGCATTGTGTCCTTATTAGTTAGTTTTTAGATGAAATTTATAATAAAATTATTAAAAAAATAAGTATAAAAATCTTAATATATTTGGTGATTTAATAATATATCTGCGGACAAAGTCATAAGCACATAATAGTATGTGTACATAGGCATGTGAATGAACAACATATTGTTGCTACATCAATTTATTCCAATTGAATGTGTTCACTATCAATTGAACTGACTTTATCAGGAAATACAATGAAACAATCAATATCAACCAAATTGTTTCTGATAATAATTGTAAAACTACATATATAATTATTATATAATGAACGGAGAAATATGAATCCTTGTTCAAATTATATCAAATTGAAAATAATTAGGATATAGAATATGGTTTCCATTAAAAATGTGATCCTAAATTTTAAAAATAAATAATATTGTAGATTATCGCCTGGGATATTAAGAAATTAATATAATGCAAATCTATCGGTCTATTTTATTTATCTTTGCCAGTAATCATCTGAAAAAATTTTTTAAAAATTATTTTATTATTGCAACACACAAATAATTTAAACTAACATAAAATGACCTTACAGTTTATTATGATTTATGGCTGATAAGTCGCCATTTCATATAAACTGCGCCCATGATAATTTCAGATATGAAAAAGTTCTTTGTTAATTAATACCCACTTGAAAATTACACTTTAACCTGTCCCATTTAGGTTGGGCTTATCCAATTAATGAAATTTGTATTTAATTAGAAGCCATAGAACAAATAGTGATGGTTTAACTAATAGGTAAAATAGTTACAATAATACAATTGACATTGTTAACATTTTTTTTATATTATGATTAAAAAAAATTGCATGATTCACAATTTTATTTAACTGAAATGTGGCATCTTTTTATAATGAAATGAATCTTCAAGACAAATTGTCTGTAAAAAGTATACTAAAACGTGTAACTAAATAATTATTATACTTAGTTAATTAGGTTTAAAATTGTTAACTGTGGATGTATAGTTGGGTATATTAAGTAATCATATATTAAATAAAATGGTAAATTATTTGGTAAAAGGGTGGCGATTTTTAAATGTGTGTAAAAACCTATTGTACTAATTTGTTTCTTCTAAAAAGCCATATTAGTAGTAATAATTAACACAAAAACAATTTTTGGCAGTACTTTTTTCTGGTAGTGAACGAACGCGAATGATTTAATTGATTTAAAAAAAAAACGATTTTTCATTCGATTTTTCGAACGTAACTGTTACAGACCCACAGTTGACTTTATGTTATAGAATACATAGTTAATAATTATTTTATGTAAATTTAGAAAGAAGTCCATGTTATTATATTTTGTTAATGTTCACGTATTATTTTTAGCCTCATATTGTATAAAATCTTTTTTTATGAGATTAAGCGCATGTCGATTATATCATATTGTTAATAAAATATATGTATAAACTGCTGATAATGTTTCTTATTTATTTAATCGTCAGTTTATTTTTATTAAATTAATTCTGCTTTGCAAGTATTAACTTGCTGATATAAAAAAAAAACTAATCACACCAAGAAAACTTATTTGTTTTACTGATTTCACTATAGAAATACAAGATTAAATTGAAAATAAAAAAATCCCGACCATCTTGGACCGATTTTCATCAAACATAGCTAAGAAGCTACGTTTGATGAAAATCGGTGTTCTTACACTCTCGGCTCTCCTTTCAAACAAAAAACGAAATCTAAATCGGTTCATCCGTTCGGGAGCTACGATGCCACAGACACACACACACACAGAAACGTCAAACTTATAACACCCCGTCGTTTTTACGTAAGAAGGTAATGACGGTTAAAGTAAAGCGCAGGAAGTCAACATTATTGCATTTTGGACCTAGCTTTTCATTTTCCGTCTAGTTTTTATAGTTTCATAGCAAAAAGCGATTATTTTCTTGTGAAACAATTTGTGCTTAAACAATTTACTTATTGTATGTTTGCCTAAGTTTCAATATTTTGGTGAAATTAACGTAAATCGGTTGTGTGGTAAAATGAAACCGCCCATTTGTGATGTAACCGTTGACGAAGGTCAAACGTTTTAGTTACATTTGCCTGATATCGGTTAAAAGATGTTTTTGGTCGACTCATAAATTAAGTATGTTTAAACATATACAGGTTTTAAAACTACACAAGATCGACAGTTACGATGAATAGAATAAACGTTAATATTGTGTTTAAATTAATAATTAAAGTAACTTACAAAGTAGATAAAAAGCTTATGAAATAATTGATAATGGCAATAAAATAGTTTTTTTTTCATTGTTATCGACGACGTTTGCAAAGGCGGCATGCTATCTATACCTACGTTGCTCCATTATTATACCTAAATATTATTTTGATTTGTTAGCAAACTTGCGTTTTAAATAGTATGAAAAGGTCATGAACGAATTAGAGACTTCGTTCATGGAAAAAGTATTGTATATACGTGCGTTTATAAAATTGAATAAATATAGGAAATATGATACCAAAAACGTGAACACTATACGTATTTTAAAACCCAAAAAGTTATTATTATAAAAAAGCCATTGATATATAGATTTTTTGTATATCTTAATCTATACATATATAATAAAATTTTAACTAACAATAAGCTAAATCTGTACATTAAATATTTCGTGGAGATTCTTATTGAAATAGACATTATTATCGATAGGCCGAATCTATGGGTTTAAGAATTTTTGCCTGTCTGTCTGTCTGTTACTGCATCACGAAAAAACCACTGGACAGATTTTGGTTGGTTATCCTATATTTATTATATAGGATCCTTTTAACTGCAGAAAAATATCACATCTCTGAGAAATCTATAGTAAACGTTAAAACTTATCTAGATATATGAACCCGAGTCAATGTATAAACTATAAAGCAAATAGTTTTGCAGTGTCACCGATTTTAGTAAAATGTCAGCTTATTTATAAACCAGTATCGGTCTAATTGGCTATTGAAAATTACTTTATTGCCATGAAGGAAGAAAATTTTCCATTGCTTTATTGATGACGAGTGCGACGCAGCCGGTACACGGGTAACGAATACATTATAAATTATAATTTTTTTTTTCTAAATGTGACTCTTTAATACATGGATTTTTGTAGAACGAGGCATAATATAGTTGCCAAATGACTAATATGTAATATTTATTAATACCCATAAGTATTGGAAAACCGATGTTACACGCAAATTCTATAAAATACTTGTATAATGTTTTATTAGGTACACTAGCATTGCCCGCGGCTCCGCCCGCGTTTGATGACCAAAAACCAAATTCTTAGGTTTTACATATTAGTATAATCTTACATTGCAGTTTTTTTTTATTTCTCTCAGAAATTAGATATTTTCCCGCGGTAAAAAGTATCCTATATGTTGACCCGGATCACCAGCTAGCATCATACCGAATTTCATCAAAATTCCTCTAGTGGTTTTTGTGTGATGCGGTAACAGACAGACAGACAAAAATTCTAAAAACCATAGATTCGGTCTATGTATCGATAATAATGTCTATTTGCATAAGATTTTCCAAAAAATATTTAATGTACAGATTCGGCTAAGTTACAATTTAATATATGTATAGATAACCTGTTAGTCCCATTTGGACGTTTTATAAAATCTGAATATTAATTATCTTTTATTTCTGTACATATAATAAAATTGTAACTAATCGCTGTCTGTACATGAAAGTTATTAGAGAAAAGAACTATTATTGAAGGTCTTTATTAACGACATAGAACCCAAAACAATGATTTTTAGATATTTTTTTTCTGCCTGTGCGTTTGTGCGCGCTAATCTCAGAAACGGCTTAACCGATTTGGGAATTGGGTGCGGCTTTTACTAATGTATAGTGGTAAGCTTTATTTAACATTTAGTATTTGTCTTATTTCAATCGGTTCTTAAATAAAAAAGGAATGTCAATTTAAAGAATCACCTAGGGACGAATCAGAGCGAAGCGAGTGTGAGTCGCTAGTATTTTAATATAATTTTACCTAGAAGCAGGGTCTACATTGTACAACTACAAAATTAAATGTGCGAATGTTTGGAATAGACCAGGAAAC